GATGCTTAAAATGTGTTAATTCCCAATAAGTTATTAACATAGGTTGAATGTCACATTTGGATTTATAAGTATAGAACACCATGAGTTCATGCAACTTGTCTTTTTATTATCATATAACTGAAAACAGATCTCTGAATCGGAAGGAAGGAAGGAAGGAAGGAAGGAAGGAAGGAAGGAAGGAAGGAAGGAAGGAAGGAAGGAAGGATGAAAACCACTCCTAAAAAAACTTTGAGGAGATATGAACAGTTTTCAGTTCAGACAATCTAGGTACCAATGAAAATTAGCAGTGGCTATGAAGGTATAAAAACACTGTCAATTGAGTCACTAATTCAGCTGCTTTAAATAGAGGTAATAGTACTGCAAACGAAACAAAAATGACATTTTTACTTTAGGATAGGTAACCCAACCCTCTATATAATTCTATCAGTAATTGTTGAAAATGTGTAATACAGCTAAATCACTCTATATTATATATAACAAATAAAATGAAGTATTTTATTTCCAATTACTATCCAAAATTAAACTACATGCCACTTATTATATATGAAACAGGATCTAATTTTTATATTTGAAAGTCTATGAAATTTATATGCAATTGACAATATTGCACAGAGCTAAATAAATTTGAGAGGAGGCAGGGTTATCATTTAAAACTATATATTTGTATCTCACTGAAATCAATAGTTAGTATGAATCATCTAGTCTGAAGTAAGACCAAAATGCTTACCTTTTCAATAATACAGTAATAGGTTTATATGAAACTAATGTATTGAAGCCAAATGTTAGTACATTATTGGCTCTTCATAATGAATGGACACTTGAGTTTTTGTAAGATGCCTTGATGTTCTTCAGTCAAGCATAGAAGCCAAATAACTCATTCCCATAGCATATTTTCAAGACATATTATTTTACTGGAAAAATAATACATTTTACAATACAATTATGGATTTGTGTACATTTCTACTACCGTGTTTTCCCGCAAGTAAGACCTACCCCAAAAATAAGTCCTTGGGGGGGGACTAATATAAGCCCTGCCCCAAAAATAAGCCCTAGTTTTGGGGCGAGGCACATACCTAAAAATCAAGCTAGGGCGGGGGTGGGGGGGTGGAGCTCCCCCACGCGCCCTGCACCCACTTACCTTGCAGCCAGGCTTCTCCTCGCTGGCCTACTTCTTCAGCTGCAGAATGAAGCTGCTCCTATGGCCCAGAAGAAGTGGGCCATATGGGCGGGGCTGTCAATGCTGGAGGTGAGTGGAAAAGACAACCCCTCCTGAAAATAAGACCTGATACCTCTTTTGGAGGCAAAAAGAACTCTTTGTATACTCTAATACAAATAGGGAGCTCCTTCCTAAGCTCCTTCCTAAGCTCTTTCAGCAGAAACAATTTTAGATGCACATATTCTCATGAGAGCTCTGACATGCATAATGAATTACTATATTAATGAGATTTACTCAATCACAGAACATAGAACCATAGGGCTGGAAGGGACCTTGGAGATATTCTAGTCCAGCCCACTGCTCAAGGCAGGCTCATGTAATTATATGTTATATATTCAGACTAACGTATACAATAGCATAATTTTTTATCCCCGTATTCTCTGGGCGCATCATAATATTTAAGAAAGAAAAAAATAAAAAGGTAGAATACAGCTCCTCAATAATTGATATACATCATCAATTGATAGCCCAACATGAGGATAAGCTATTTCTATTCTACAGTGTGGCAATAAGAGCCAGTTTCGTCTAGTGGCCAAGGTACTAGTCTAAAAAGCAAGGCACTGTGAGTTCAAGTCCCACCTTAGTCACAGAAGCCAGCTGGGTGATCTTGGGCCAGTCACACTCTCTTAGCCCAACTCACCTTGCACGGTTGCTATGGGAAAAATATGAGGAGGAAGGTGATATATGTTTGCCGCCTTAAGTTATTTGTAAAAATATTATAAATGTATGTGAAAGAGTATGTATTTCAAAAAGCTGATCCATTCAAATAATTGTTCAGCATGATTGTGTATGAAAATTATGTTATAAATGGAATACTGTAGTTCACAAAGGATTTTCAAGATTACAGCTGATGATATTAAAGCAGGCTTCTTTTTCCTCTTCCCCCCCTCCCCCAGTTTATTTCTCTGCCATGTTCTTTCATTTTGTGCTGCTTTGGTATTTTTTTATTGTATTAAAGATTTTTAATAATTTGTAAACCATTTGGAGTCACAGGGAGTCAGGCAGCATATAACTTTAACAAATTATCATCATCATCATTGTGTAGAAAAGTCTGTCTGCATCTGTCAGTTTGATAAAAGCATATTTTCTCCATTTATTGGTACAAACCAAAATAACTACAAAATTCATACAGTGTCCTTTTGTTCTCCAGAAAGAATATTTCAATATACTGTTAAACATTATTTTTAAAACCAGACTATTAAACAGTATCATATACTTTATATGATTGTTGAGGTGAGAATAAAATAGGAGAACAGTCCCATTCTATATGTGTTATCTCATCTCATCTCTAGTCTAGAGCAGGGCTTTTCAACCGGTGGTACGTGTACCACCTGTGGTACTTTGCCACCTGGCAGGTGGTATGCGACTGCTAGCCAAGTGTAGCGGGGAGGGGAATGAGCTAAAGCAACCCAAGCCTGAAGGAGAGGCAGCTGCAGCTGCAGGACTGTCTGGGCTCGGCAGAAGCCCCAGGAGCCGGTAGGGCTCCAGATGATTGGCGCTTCCGGAAGCAGCGCGGAGCTGGAGGTGAACTGAAGAAAAGGGGGGGGGGAGAGGAGAGGCTATAAAAGGAGGTGGTTTGGGCAGGAAAGAGAAAAAAAGACAACAGGGAAAGAGAAGGAGAGGTCAGCAGGCAGGGAGGAAACAGGGACAGGGAAGAAGCAGCAGCTATTGCTGGAAGAAAAGGTCCCCTGTTTCATTTTCTCCAGCCAGGAGAATGCAATCAGCACTGATGAAATGAAAAGCCAGCATGTCGGAAAGGAGGTGGGTTTATTTAGTTCTGGATCAGCTGGCAGCTTGATTGGGTTACCATAAGGATTTTTGTACAGTTTTTACAGTGTTTTGTAATTCAGAGGCTCCTTTGTGTGCTTTGGTTATTGGAATATTTTAATCTATATTTTAGGCTAGCAGTGAGTTCAAAGTGTTGACTTCCGTAGGTTTAATCCCTTTAAATAAATGTAATTAGTTTTACCCCCTTATCTTGAGTCTGTCTATGGCTTTTAGAAAGTTTTCTTTGAAGGTAAACAGGCTTAATTTAAGGCTAAAGCTTTTTGCAATTGCCAGAGCCTTTCAATCTCAGATTGCAACATTGTGACCCATGACATGCCAGAGGTAGCTTAAAGAAAAAAAATCAGAGTTTATGTGTTGCTTTATTTTGTGAGCCTTTCTTGCTTTGCACTTGATTCCTGTGTCTTTAAGGGTATAGGGAAGGGATTGGGAGGGGGTTGCATTCTTACTACACTGTGGAAAGAGCTCAGAAGGGAGAGAGGAAGAAGGGCCGACCAGCTAGCTCAGGGGCCTACAAACTTATCAACTTTAAGACCTGTGGACTTCAACTCCCAGAATTCCTCATCCAGCCATGATGGCTGAGGAATTCTGGGAATTGAAGTCCACAAGTCTTAAAAGTGCCAAGTTTGAAGACCGCTGAGCTAGCTGGTAGTGGTGCATATTAATAAACATGGATAAATTCATCATATATTTGTCAGTGCAAAGGGAAAGTGATTCAGCAAAGGAACAGCCACCAAAGAAATTAAAACTGGTACTTTTTTCCTTTTTTTCTACGGTTTGTAATATTTTATTAGATTATAGAATAAAATACAAAAATACAAAAGCAAATAGTAGGACACAGTGGGGAGGAAAGAGGGGGGAAAGTGAGGGGGAGAAGGGAAAAAGAACAGGCTTCCTCTGCTGCAGTAGAAAGAAGCATTAACACTGAACCTCAACTTTTTACTTTTCCATAATATTATAAACTAGCCATTTCTATAAATGAATCTAATCAGTAAAACCCAAAATCCCCCCCCTTTTTTTTTAGTCATCAAGTTTTTGACACCTTGCTAAGCACTGGTGGTACTCAAATATTGTCATGTCCTAAAAGTGGTACAATCTGTGAAAAGGTTGAAAAGCCCTGGTCTAGAGTACAAGCACATAGGGTTTTTTTAGGCTGGGAGTTGTGCTTCCGCTTTGAGTAACATAACAAGGACTGTACTCTCAACAAAAAATGCTTTGGCTGGGACAAAACTAAGTAAGATTTAATCTAATTTTAATTAGTTTTATATGTACCTTCTTAAACTCTGGTAAATAGATTAACAAGTAAAAAAAAACAATAGCTGAAGTCTTGGCAGAGAGCTTAACAATGATTAGGAGTCTACATATTAATGTAGACATTCTTCTCCCAGTGATTTGTAATTCTTGGCTTCAACTTGGAAGAAAAATTGCAGCATTTTGACTCTTACTTTTTGATAAATCAAGTTTTAACATGGAGATGTCAGGGAAAAATCTGTGTGTACTGTTATTGTCTGTCCTATCACTTTATCTGATATCCTGAAGAAACTTCCTCTTTTAGAGCTATAAGCTCCTCTTCGTTTTATAAGAGGAATGGTGGAGCTGTTACCTGCCTGTTGAGATGTTATTTTAGATTTCCCCACCCTACCTGGACAATGGGCAATAGTTTTTGCTGCAAAAGAAGCTATAGTGACAGGAATGGCTCTGACATGACTAATATGCCCTGAATCAAGCATTGACAAAGCAAAATTCTAAACTCTACTGATAGGATGTTAGGATGCATGTGAGAGAATGAACCCAAACTAAACTTAATAAACACATCAGCTTTAGCTACACTATCCCTACTTTAAAAATTATGCAACAATTTTGCACTGTTGTGAAGATGTAAACCTTGATTTAAAGAGTGGCTTGAAAACCCAAGTTCACTTTGCTTAAGCCAATTTTTTCTGAGATAGCCCAAAGAGGATAAATAATATAAACCAATGATTTGTTTGGTATGAGTTTTTTAACTCTGAGGCAGAGTTGTCCCTGGACACTATGGAAAGAAACAAAGGAGTTTTGTTTATTAACCTTATCTTTGCATACACTCTGTTTGAATTTTATCCTCTTTCATAATCACTTTCTGATGTCTGATAAACCCCTCTTTAACCTTTGTAACTGAATTACCCAACGAACTATCTCATTCTCTTTTTAAAAAAAGCAAGAGCTGAGGTTCATTTATGCTGATATAGACTCACACAACTATTTCCACTCAATAAATAAAGAAAAGTCTCTGAGCAAATTTAGAGTCTAAAGGTAGGAAACCGTGGTTACTCTTCATGAGCCTTCTTTCAACACCTTCATTGAGCAGTGCTTGCAGTTTTCAGAGGTCCAGGCAAAAAAAACATTAATCAGCTCCCACAGACCACTTTATGTACCTATATTTACATATACAATGACATGTGCAATCTAGTATCTATTATCGCAAAATCTGTACACTACCCGTACTATTTGCTGAAGAGGTAACAAAAAATCTGGTCTTTTCCTCCTACTACCAATGTGGTAGCCACAAAGAGGAGCATGCTTTGCCCACCAAAGAGCTCTAAGAAAGTTAGGGTATGATTGGGGATAGTGATGAAAAGAATAAGTGATAGCAACCAGGAGCACAAAAAGGCTGCAACATCAGGCACACAGGACTGCTGTTTGTGCTCCCTACAAACATCTATCTTTCCTAATCTACTCTACCCAAATGTGTTTGGATTACAGATCCTAGGGTTCCCAGCCAGTATAATTAACAGACGTCTTGCAGTTGTGATACAACAAATTTGATGAGGCAATTAGGCAAGGTTAACCTACAAATATAGAGAATGTATATGTATATACTAGGAAGATGGGAGATGATTTACTCTAAGACTGGGACTACCATTCTCTCTTCCACTTCAGATATTACTGTCTGCTATCTGCAGCTTTCTGAAACTGGCCTCCTGCAGTGCCGCTAGAATGTGGTGTGAATCCAGGCTATTGACTAAGTATATCAATAATTAAAGCCAGGTTAGGATCCACTAGGAGATGAATTAAGTAGAAAATAGCAATGAATTTAAACAAATAAAAATGACATAACCATCTATATTAATACTATGTTTGGAGGATGAAATAGCCATAGTTACAAATGTAAAGTAGTATTTACCCATTTCCTGGGTCGGCCTCTTGGTCGTTTTTCTCCAGTGGCTTCTGCTTTCTGTAAAAACAAAGATACATGATATAGATCCAAATTATTTCTAATTACATTATTAGACAACCCTGGTGTTGGGGTAACTAGTGCCTACTTCCTGCAACACTGTTATTTTTATTTATTTACTGATTAGATGGGAACCACCAAGAAAAAAAACTGCTATTATCTATTTTACTCTTTCTCCCCCATTCCCTATTCTTTCCCTTTTTCCCTTATGGAGAAAGGCTGAGCCCATCCTTTCATGAAACAGAATGAAAAGTTCATTGTTTAAGGAAGGAAATGGCTTTTTAAAAAAATGATAGACTATTCACTGTGATCTTCATGTGTCTAGACTATTGATAAGAATGTATGGAAAGCAAATCAACATTCTTGACAAAAAATATCTTTGGATGTATCTGTTTAAAGAACTTTTCTTTGTTTGTGGGCCAAAACAAACTCAAAATGTTAGCAATGGTTGCTAACAAAAAAGCTGGGACTAGAGGAATGTAGGAAGTTCAGAAAACATACTGTCTATACATAAATTGTATGTTACACTATTCAGAGCATATTCAAAAGATACATTTATTTAAAAGGTTATTTCAATCCATCTTCCTCCTCTCCAATTCTAAATATGATTTTGGTGCTAAGCACTAATATTAATTCAAATCCTACAAATAAAAAAATGAATTTAACTGAATTAATATGGTATCTTGCATGAACACTTCAGTTTTTCTTACCTTTCCAATTCATTTGCAAACATGGATAAAAAACAGTTTAAAATGTTGAATACTTATACCATTTATATTCTGTTATTATTCAAAAGGAAATTTCCTTTAAAGTTACACATTGTACAAAACTATACTACTTGTTTGAATAAGCGCTCTAGCTGGGTTTACACATAGTACAATCGCATATAAGCCAATGTTTAATTTCTATAATGGATGTATTCATAAACATGCTAAGCCATGGCTTGCTTAGCTGCAATTCAATAAATAATAATTTGGTGGGTTCATATAAATTGTAACACAGATGTTTTTAAAAAAACAAATTGGTTGGATTGATAACATACCAAAGCAAAACTTAATTAATTATATCATGACTAAGGGCAATATGTGAAGCCACCTCCTGACTCCAATGATAACCATTAAATATTCACACAGGACTACAGCCTTAAGATTTAAGCAGCACTTCTCCTGTATTACTTAATAAACAGTAGCCCTATAAGTTAATATTATTGACTTCAGGAAAGGTGATATGGGCTGGTGGTGATTGTCTGGGATGCTTTGGAGGTATTCAGAGGCCTTGCTCCACACATTACCAGATGTGAGATGCTATTTCTTATGTTGGGCAGCACGAAGGGTCAGCTGGGTCTGCTGCTATCGTACCAGCCTTCCTGCTGCATAATGACTTCCCTACCTGAGCTGCTCAACTCTGTGGCTGGGCTGGTGTTCCCTGGACTCATGGTCCTGGAGAACCTCAGTCATCATCCCTGGTCTCAGGATCAGAGGTAGCTCAGAAGTTAGTAGCCATTTGTCGAATTGTCCAGGGCCCAACTCATCGTAGTGGTGACATACCTATCTGGTTTTTGGGTCAGCGCAATGGCAGAGCTTTATGGATTTGGGGGAAATATTAATTTCTCCTCTGCCATAGGCAGATCACTAATTGATAAGTTTCCAATTCTTGAGTGCCACCCTCCTTCGTTGCTTGGGCCCACCCCAAACAACCAATGTATCCGATTATTCTGAAGAAGCTGGTACTCGGACTGACTAAAGTCTTAGTGACCAAATGGAATAGTAGAGCAGTGGTAGCTTTGGATTGGATTGTGGCTAAATGGCCTCTCCATGGTTCCCGATATTCCCTATAGTATACGATGGAACTGAGGGAACTAAAGCAGCTAGAGTGTTACTGATAAAAGACAAAGAGCAAAGACAACTATGCAGGCTATTAGAGTCTGCCTTATGGTGGTAGGGGTGGCAAAACGTAATTATTTCTTCACCCTTATTGGGTCTCCCGATAGTCCACTGTGATTGATTTACCGGGCGCATCTCTGTACATGCCTCCAATCTCCTTTCCAGAATCTAGTTTGGAGAAGGATTAGCCGGTCCGTGGCACCTCTGGGGAGACAGAACAGTGAGTCCAGGGGCTATTGGAGATGCATACAGGAAGCAGCAGGCTTCAGCTTGACAGAGCAACTGCAGCTGGAACGACTGGATGGACAGCCAGCTGAGATCAGGCAGAGGGAGTCACAGCTGCAGCAAGAAAGCCTGAGACTCTAGATAGGAAGCCAGTACAGCTGCCAGTGGCCAGCGCAGATGAGAAAGAAGAGTTACCTCCTCTCCCCAAACAAAGGGTATCCAGGGCTAAGGGGTGACAGGAACAATGCCAGTCAGCCAGGCTACTCATGAGGCAGCAGCCTCGCCCATCGTGAGGGGCTGTACCAGCATTAACTATTTAAGCTTGTCCAAAGAGAAGGTTGATGCTGAAATGTTGTCTTACTTCATATTCCTGCCTTGTTGTGTTTCTTGCCTTGGACTGATAATTTGGACCTCTGGTTTGTGCCTTGACCTTGTGCCTTGCCAGGTGACTAATTCAAGCCTTTGGGACTCTTGCCTTGTCAAGTGCCTTTGTTCTGGCTTCTGCCTAGCTTCAGAGGTTGAGACCGCTCCTCTTGCTGGCTCCTTGGAGCCTCTGGTGGGACTTCGAAGGGGTGAGTGGGCTTTTGTTATTCAGGAAGTACTGGGGGCTGTATATTTGGGCTCAGGCCACTCAATAAAGACTTTTAACATACTGCTGTGTGTGCGTGTGTGAGCGGGGCAGCACACCCAGTAGCCATTACAGGAAACTTGGTCCCTTCTTGGAAGAAGAATACCAAAGTTCACCTACAGGGTTGCTGTGAAGAATATGCTGTACATCTGGCAGACAAAGCTGCTCCCATTTGCTCTGTATTAGACTTCAGCCTTAAAACAGAATCAAGGAAGGTGGAGGGGGCTACATCTTGCAAGGAGGAAGAGGAGTTTGAGGAATTTGAGCATGTGGAACATGAGGATAGGGCTCTCTCAGCTGCTAGTTTGGCCATAATATACAGATGACACCCAGCTTTATACCTCTACTTCAGGCCCTCTGAGTGAAACTGTGGATATCCTATTCCAGTGGAACTTGATGGGCAACACAAGTTCTGACTTAACTGTAGCAAAACTGGTGGCTGTGGTAGTATTTGGACCCTCCCGAGACAAGGTTCTTCACTCCTTAGTTCTAGATGGGCGCTACTATTCAGACAGACCTAATATGCAATCTGGGATCCTCCTTGACTCACAACTCCTGTTCAAAGAGCAGGTGGCACCTTTCAGTACTGCACCAGTTGCACCCATTCCTGGACCAGGAGGCCTTGTTCACTATCGCCTATGCCCACATAACCTCTCACCTAGATTACTGCAATGTACTCTATATAGGGTTGTCCCTGAAAAGCACTTGAGAATTTCAGTTGGTTCAGAATGCAACTCCACATTAATAAATGGTGCTGGACATACAGCACATGTAACACAGTTATGAGAATTGTATTGGCTAGCAGTATATTTCTAGGTACAATTCAAACGCTGTTTGTCACCTTTAAAGTCTTAAATAGCTTGAGACCAGGTTACCTGAGGGACCATCTTTTTCCAAGAGTCTCTATGTGTTCAATTCTATTTAGCTGCCTGGGCATGCTGCAAATCCCATCAGCCAAATAAAGTCAGCTGACAAGGAATAGAAAATGGGCCTTTCCCCCCTGCTCTGTGGAATATTTTCCTCTTAGAAATTAGAATAGCCCCAACCCTGTTAACCTTTTGTAAGGCTTTAAAAACTTGGCTATATATAAATAGTCCTTGACGTACGACCACAATTGACCCCAAAATTTCTGTTGTTAAGTGAGACATTTGTTAAATGAGGTTTGCCCCATTTTAAGACCTTTCTTGCCCCGGTTAAGTGAATCACTGACATTGTTAAGTTAGTAACCTGGTTGTTAAGTGAATCTGGCTTCCCCATTGACTTTACTTATCAGAGGTTTGCAAAAGGTGATCACATGACCTTGGGATACAGCAATGCTCATAAGTGTGAACCAGTTGCCAAGCACCTTAATTTTTGATCACATGATCATGAGGATGCTCCAAAGACTGTAACTGTGAAAAACGATCATAAATCACTTTTTTCAGTGCCATTGTAACTTTGAACAGTCACTAAATGAATTGTTGTGAGTCGAGGACTATCTATATCTCAGCCTTGGGCTGCAAATGGGTTACAGGTCCAATTCTTAGCTTTGTTAATTATCTTGGCTGCTGTATATATTTATTTTGAATGTTTTTAGTTTAAATGTTTGATTGTTTTTATATTTTTAGAACTTTAAGCAGCACAGAGTCATTGGTTGAAATGAGAGGCTATAGAAATAAAATAAAATGTAATCCCAGTAGTGCCTATATTCTGTAATTAATAGTATGCCTATTTATCTGTTTTTCTTTTAGTACTTTAACATCCCATTCTTTCAGTTCCTACTGAAAATCTATGCCTTGTAAAAGGAATTCTGATACAACATTTGAAAATACTGCAGCAGTTTTCTACAGTTCCTTGATACTATAAATATAGATAAATATCTATAGCCCATTGTAAGGAAGAAACATGTGAAAATATAACAGCACAAAATTAGAGGATAACATGTCATTTAAAATGTTTTTATAAAATCTTCATATTCAATCATAAATAGCACTTCATAGTATAAATGCCATTTTCTTAAGATACCATATTCAAACAACCTGCATAAGGAAACATATCTGTATTAACAATTTATCACATGAAACTCAGTGATTATTGCTTAAAATATTTCAGCAATCACTCCTCAGTCCAATTGTCTAGACATGACATCTAGAATCAAGCTAGGTAGATTAATCCTGAAAGCATTTTTAAGGTACATCTCAATTTCTATTCAAAATCTGAATTACTACCTTTTACTCCCTTCTATATTATATGGAAAAATATGTGTAGGCTGTCCTAGAAGATAA